TCTGAGTTTGACATCCCTTCACTGCAAAGATTTTTGACATATTCCTGTTGTAAAGCCAATTGTGCAGTGGGAAAGAGAAACAAAGGAGAAAATATTTAAATTGGTAGCGATAAATATATATATATATATATATATATATATATAAAACTGGGCATTTGCCAATATTATGGTATGGTGTACATTATCTGCCTGCACCCTCATTCTACACGAATATTTATGTATAGATAAAAAGCAGAACAATTTGTATACGATCGCCTTAGTTATATTCTACACAAAAAGTACGCGATGCTTTTATTTGCAGACGTGATAATGCTAAATAAACGATTAGTATGTCTTATATAATACATTACACTGGCAAAATTCAAATGTTGTAAAAGAGGTCAATGGTAAAAATGCCATACCGTAAAAATCACCTTTTTGCGACTTAAATGATTTAGCAAATCTTAACATTATATTTATAATTAATTATCTTTCAATTACAAAATAATTAAAGTTTATCAACATAAATGGTTAACTAAACCATCTATAAAATCTTTTATAAAGATTTTAAATAATTAAAATTTTCTTCTTCTTCTTCTTCTTCTTCTTCGCGTGAATGATTCTATTCTTAAATCCTATTTTTCATTTCCTTTCATTATACCTTGGGGTGATATTAATAAGAAAAAATTGGAAAAAAATTGCGTTCGGATATAAAATATTTGTTCTGGTTAATCGTTTATATAACGTACAATGCACACCAAATACACTATTTTTGGAATTCAACGAACAAATTCTTCTCTGACACATAAATTGATATGAAAAGCTCCACCTCTCTAATAGGTATTGCAGCAGCGATAACTAAAAATATCAGTAAATTAAAGTTTGCAACAAGAAAAATGCATTTCTCGCATTACAATAACCTGCTTGTTGTCGATGTTATTGCATAGATGCTTGTTAAGGTAGCATACCCAGGCATATATATACATATATATATATATATGCATATGCGTATGTATATAAAAAAAATGAAGATTACCTTCTAAAGATAGTAGAAGTTGGCCATAAAAATAGAAACAGAAGTTGCCTTTAAAGTCTCGTGCATGTATATGTAATACGATCACTTTGTATGCTCACGTGCAAGCAAACATCAATTGTTACAAATAACGTAGACGTCGAACGACACGCACACGTTACGGCTTTCGTAAAGAAGAAACAGGTAGTTTTTTGTTATTTACACACAGAGGCCGGTGATGTTTACACCGGAGCATATATATATATATATATATATTATATCTATATACACATCTACATATATATATATATATATATATATATATTATGCATACGAAACACGACCGCATACTTGATAATGTTTATAAAAAAACTCAGCCGGCTGCTAGACATTTGTTTATTGTAGGAAAAGTTGTTTTCCTTAAGTCTTAACCATAAAGACAGAGAGAGCATAAGAGCGTGTGAGAGAGTTGCAGAGAAAAAGAGGAGAGATAGAATGAAAACTACAAATTGGTAGAGAGAGAGAGATAGAGAGAGAGAGATAGAGAGAGAGATAAGGAGAGCTGGTAAGAGAGAAGAGAATAAGAGCGATCGAAAGGCAGAACATAAGATTATCTGATAACACTTGACAAAGTGAATAACGCGCACGTATAGCGTTTTCGCACTTGACTAACAATGTTTTAAAAATAAGTATCTATCTATACAACAATAAAAATTTGTATGTATGCGTATATATATGCGTTTATAAACCTATACTTGACAAGGTCTTTAAAGCTTTTATTCTTATACAAATATGTAGAAATCAGCGGGCGTCTGAAATTATAGCACATGAGTTATCTCTTATAAAACACACACATTGTTCATATTTAAACTTTCTGTTTTATTGTTGATTTTGTGTTTTTTTTTTTTTTTTTTTGAAAAAATAATAATCATAAAGTATCTGACGCGAACAGATTGAATAAGAGAGACACCAAGAGTATGTGTGTGAATTCTCTTGTTTTTAAAAAACCATTCAAGTTGTTGTGCATTCTTGAATTTCTGTTAAATGTCCACAATTCACGCGACAAACTCGTGAATTTCAAAAAAAAAAAAAAAAAAAAAAAAAAAAAAAGAGACAAATGGAAACAAAAATAGCATTCAATTTAAAACGAACCTTAGATACCTACCAAGTCAAACTAAATGTTAGGGGATCGGTAAATCGATCACGTTTTACGGGATCATCTAGATATTTAGTTACTTACTAATACAAGCCCATTGGAAATACGGAACTGGCTAAAGGATAGAATTGATAAAAATTTTCTATTAGGACTTGTCTTAACACTTTTAAGATCTAACTTATATAATTTTAAAATTATTTCACCTCGGAAAGTAATCCATGTTTTTTAGACTACACAAGAACATTTTCCAATTTGTCATATGACTTCAATATTTTCGAAATCGACAACTTCAGCAACTGGGGCTTGAGAGTGAAATAAGTCCATATTTAATCTTGATCAAGGATATTTATAAGATTTCTGACCATCATTACCAAATAGCCGACTAGGCAAGAATCGTGACTACCAAATCTTTGTTTTCGGATTGAAATCTTAACGCGTTGCTTGCTTTGATCGTAGTTATAGTGACCCGTCGCTTGCCTATCTCCTTCTTTTTCCCTATTTCATTCCGACCATCACAATCACCGATTAGGAGAAATACACTGAGAAGTTGGTGATATAAATAAAAACTAAAGAAAAAAAGGTATCAAAATCATTATAATAAACGATTTTTTAACAATGGGCTTTTCAGAAACGAAGCTCCTTAACAAACTTCATTGTCAGTAACCCCATTTGTTCCGGCGAAAGTATGTCTTAGAGATATGCAAAACTTCCAGTTTTTTTAATCGAACGTTCTTACACCTCATCGGTCGAGTATGGCTTCTGTATTCCTTTGCACTTCTGTGCACCGGAACTTTGTAAAGTGTGTACAGTTGTTCGCAACGTGCTAATTCTTCACAGACAGTTCAGCTGTCCAACGTTAAAACGATTGCAATCTTTGTTTTCTTCTTTTTATGTGATCAACGCAGGGTTTGTCCATTACGCGTACTGTGATAGTCAGAAAAAGGTACCGAAAGAGAAGCAGATACGGAGTGGCCGCAGCCTAGTGAATGCTTACTCATTCGAAAAGCTCTGAAACCATAAAAAATATAACCGAGTAAACAAGCCTTCACTGTTGCTACGACCAAGTGTATTCGACCGTTTCGGGGTTTGATCCATGAACACTTTAAAATGATTGGTGGGCGAACGTATAAAGTTACCAAACACTTTTGAAGGCTTCGTTTCCAAAATCAATAAATGAAAACGATGCGTTTGTATTAAGGGATCCAAAGCAAACAAATTACCTTTCTTTTCTGATTATAACGCATATTTTGGAACATTATGACCTGGAAGCTTGAGCGCGTTCAAATAGTCTCCATGTTCACCGTTTGCATCTGCTTTGTTTGCCTAATCAGACGAGGTCCGCAGTTCTATCGAGTAGTTTGCTAGTAATTGGGTTAGCACAAATGTTTCCAATGGTTTAACTGTAGAAAAAATTATCCCCACGATGCCCGCTGATATACGGGTCATTTATGCGAAAGTGGAACAATTCGTACAAGTTAAGGGCCCAACTACACCTGCGGTGCAGAGGCCTAACATAATTCAAGTTATTCGCTTTAGGATTGTTTGAAAACCACAGCCATAACGATGCACCCTGAAGGGCAATACCCAGCAGTCAGGACTCACTACCACAACTACAACATTCTCTTCTTAAGAAGTTCCTCTACTTAGACATAGATAGTGAGTGGGCCCCTGAATCCCGTGGAACTTAAATGTAGACTATAAACCCTTTAGCATTACATATATATGTGTTTACAACTGACATGGCCTGCTCCATTTTCTCAACTACTAGTGCTTCACAGTATTCTACAACCTAACTATCCTGGTCCTGTTTCAGTTAGTTTGTGTTTTCTTCATAGAAGTTGTCTATGAGAAAAGAAGTGTTCACTTGTGAAAAAATCAAAACCCTTCCAGTGCAGCCCTAAGCTATCTATGAGAAAAACCTATCGCTAAATTGTAGACAATTAAGTCTTCAACTCTTCTTCCTCAGTCAGTTGTCCATCATTACCACGTGGAAATGAAAGTTTCGATACATCTATGCATCTACTTAACATAGTTTATCACCCAGTTGGGCTTGAAATAATAGATCTCTTAGATTGCGCAACGATTTGTCTAATAATGACACTAATAATAACAATAATAATATGTTCCAAAGCTTGATCTGTACATATTAGCCCAGAAAATAGGTGTGTGTTTTCTTCTAGCAACACTTCCGCTTCTGATAACCTCAGCAAAAGGTTTAGTCGGTAGTCAAGCAGACGTGGCCAACTTGACTGGGGGTTTTCTGTTGCCCATCAATATCTACGTTTTACTGGGCCTTCGTAATTTTCACTTAATAAAAAAAAAAAGATTAAATGAAGCCTCACGTGGTCAAGGCATAAAAAAGAAATAATATATATATCCTCTTGGAGTTAAAGGTTTCACCGTGGTACGTACGATGACACAAAACTGTTCTCTGATAGCGAACACACGCACACTTTCTACATTATATAACTTTCTTTAGCATTTCGTGGGGATCAAGTATAAAAAAAATATTCATTTATCAACTAACAAAAATCTTCACTTTATTAAACAGTGGGCATTGAGGTAAATGTAAGGCAATACATTTTCCTTAAAAGGTCAGAACTTAGTCATTAAAAAGGTCTGAGTGTATTGGGCGAGGTCTACTAATTGAAAGCCGAAATATTCAATATTCAGGCATTCACTAAAAATAAAAAACAAAACATCTTTGTTGTTATTTTTAAAGTCTCTTATCATAACTTTCTCAAATATTAAAAAAAAAAAAGAGATTTTTTATTTTTATGTTATAAAATTGATAACGCAATGATTTCATAAAACAGAAATATAATTTTTTTATTTTTTTTTTTTTTTTTTGGTTTTAGGTCCAGTTATCGGCAGTCGTCATATACAATGTTTTTTATGCTTCTGTTGTCTATCGTTATGTTATGCTCTACGTGTCAATTTATCGGTAGCCATTGTCGCCATGACGGACAAAAACTCTACAAAAAGTAATTTTGAGGAATTCGACTGGGATGAAGGCACCAAATCATATTTACTGAGCAGTTTCTTTTGGGGCTACATACTTACACAAATACCAGGCGGTCATATAGCTCAAAAATATGGTGCAAAGACGCTGCTTTTAATTGGCATAACATTGTGTTCATTGCTTACTCTGCTTACTCCATTGGCTGCTTCCGTAGGAGGTTGGAAATTGTTGTTTGCTGTACGTGTGGTTCAAGGTTTGCTGCAGGGCTCAGTGCATCCAGCCACTCATGCTATGTTAGCCAAGTGGGCTCCAGTCGAGGAGAGAGGCAGCTTGGGTACATTTTGTTATTCCGGATCACAATTTGGCACTGTCCTGATGTTGGCTGTTAGTGGTTACATAGCTGATTCATCGGCCGGTTGGCCAGGTATTTTTTATGTCTCGGGCGCTATGGGCTTTGTATGGGCTCTATTTTGGTTTCTATTCGCTGCCAGCACGCCGGCTGAACACAAAAGCATTACCAATGAAGAAAAGAAACTTATAGAGAACTCTTTGGGTCAAGTGGAAAATAAACCTCAAGTAAATGGTCCCACGCCATGGCTTAATATATTTACTTCGGCTCCTTTTATATCCTTGATAATTGTGCACTGTACGCATATGTGGGGTTTCTGGACTCTATTAACTCAAATACCCAATTACATGAAGAACATATTGGGAGTAGATATTAAAAATAGTGCATTGCTTTCCTCCTTGCCTTACGCTGTGATGTGTTTGCTGTCCTTTTTCTTCATATACCTATCAAAAGTACTGGCACGCAAGGATAATGTATCGCTGTCATTCAATCGTAAATTCTTTAATAGTATTGGCCATTGGATACCGATGGTATCGCTGATCGCCTTAGGTTATGTAACCAAAGAACATGCCACATTGGCTGTTGTCCTGTTAACGTTAACAGTGGGCATAAGTGCAGCCACATACTTAGGATTCCAAGTGAACCATATTGATCTCTCACCCAATTATGCGGGTACTCTAATGGGCATTACGAATGGTGCTGCCAATGTAATGAGTGCTTTAGCACCGCTGGCAGTTGGCTTCGTCGTCGACGATGTGGTAAGTTAGTGAGTGTAGCTCACGGAAAGGAACGTTTTTATAAAAACGATAAAATATTTTTTTATGTTTATAGACTAACGTGTTTGAATGGCGTACGGTATTCTTCATAGCGGCGGGATTTTATTTCGTAGGCAATCTTCTGTTTGTTGTATTGGGTAAAACTGATGTGCAGTGTTGGAATTCGCTCACGGAAAAACCTCTGAATAACTGCCAGTTACGTTTAGTAAATGATGTTGAATCTCCTGTTTTGCTAAAGAATGGTGATGTGAAAGCGACAACAAATCATAAACAAAATGGTACACACTAGTCTTAGCTGTAAATAACGGGGGATGTTTTAAATCCCAGATTTTCCGAACTGAAGACCTCTTTATATTTTTTATTTAAATCTAAGATGGTTGCATTCATAAAACGTAAACCGAGAGACTAGAGCTAAGCATTAAATTTGTTATTAACATTTAAGCTTTTTTTTTTTATATATTTTTTAAGTTTAGCAAATGACTAATAAGGCCTTTAGGCAATATTTCGAGTACGTTATCTTTGTCCAATTTTGTCTTGGAAAAATGTACATAATTATGATTAAGTAAATCGTCAAATGCCTTAAGTTATTATATATTCATATAAGTTCTAAATGTAAAAGAAGAAAAGAAAAAGAGAAGAGATTTTTCAAAAAAAAAGGAAAAATAAATAAAAGCAAAATAAAGAAATATATATAACAAAACTGTACGGTGTGTTAACGGCAGCCAAAATGCATCATAGCTTTTACTTAGCTAATAAAACAGTTCCCTAATAGTTCCCATAGAAACTTTATGGGCAAAAAACATCTACATCCTGGGAAAGTTTGTTTTTTTGTATATTACGGTAAATGACAATTGCTATATTCTTGATCAGCATCAAATTCTGAGTCGATTTAAGCCTGTCCGTCTGTCCATCAGTTGTAAACATTCTCCTTGTAGAAAAATTCAGAAATTTAAAAGCCGCCTTGGAAAACCCTAACTAGATAATTGAAAAAAGTAAAATCCCAATAGTAGGTCATAGCTCACTATTAATCACCCTACAGTTATTCCAACAACGTATTATCAAAGTAAGGCGTTATATAGGAAGTAATGGCAAAGGTGGACGGATCCGAAACATTTTCAAAAGCACTCGTCCTTGGAGCAAATTAATATCAGTGTACCAACTTTCACCGAAATATCTCAAAAATTGCAAATTATAAGTTGAACACAAGGAAACAAGATGGACGGGCAGATTAGCTTAAATCAATGCAGAAATTGATTTTGAATCGACCGGCATAATAAAACATGAGTATATTTCAAGCCCTTCTCCATGTGGCATATATTTGCACACACTTAATAGATCCTTGTAGCACAAGTGGCATGGAATAAAAAAAGTAGCGATTTTTTTTTACGAAGATACCTGTAATTCGTCTCAATATGCTTACCAT